GTTGTTTACTCTTTTGTTTCTAGCAATATAAAAGCAAACTAGTGCATATCAGTGTAGGTAAATTGTTACCTCAACTTGAATCTATTAGTTGGTCCAATAGGTTTTTTAGCAGATTTCAGGTGAGCAATGTAAAGTGTTGTCTCAACTAATTAATTTTTAAAGAAGTTGGGCCAACAATGCATTATTAATTCAGTCAACATTAACAAATTGGGGTTTCTACAGTGCAATGTAACATGCTGTCTCAACTAATTCAGTTGTAAAAAGGTGGACCAACAACAGATTAATTCATTTAACATTAATCGAGTTTTTACTTGACCCAGCTCACCGTGCCCGCCCACACCTGGGGTTTCTACAGTGCAATGTAACATGCTGTCTCAACTAATTCAGTTGTAAAAAGGTGGACCAACAACAGATTAATTCATTTAACATTAATCGAGTTTTTACTTGACCCAGCTCACCGTGCCGGCCTACACCTGTCAGTGGATCACTAGCTTTCTGATAGACAGGAAGCAGCAACTGAGGCTGGGGGAAACCACATCCAGCACCCAGACAGTCAGCACAGGTGCCCCCAGGGATGTGTGCCCTCCCTGCTGCTGTTTTCCCTCTACACAAAGACTGCACCTCAGGGGACCCCTCTGTGAAACTCCTTAAATTCTCAGATGACACATCCAAGATGGTGAGAAGTCTGTGTACAGACAGGAGGATAAACAGCTGGCCCTGTCGTGTGGTCGCAACAACCTGGAGCTAAACACGCTCCAGTGGAGATAATAGTGGATTTTCAGGAGAAGCCCCCTCATTCTACCCCTCTCACCATACTCAGCAGCACTGTATCAGCTGTAGAGCCTTTTAAGTTTCTGGGCTCCACTATCTCCCAGACCATGAAGTGGAAATCCAACATCAGCACCATTGCCAGGAAGGCGCAGCAGAGTTCAGGAAGTCCAACCTTCCGACAGGAGGTGCTGATATAGATCAACACAGGAATCATCGAGTGTGGTCTCTGCTTTGTCTGGTTTGGCTCAACAACCAAATAGGACAGGAACAGGCTCCAGCAAACAGTCAGGACTGCAGAAAGAATCATCGGTGTCAGCCTCATCTCCATTGAGGACCTTTACACCTCATGGGTCAGAAGGGGACCAGAAAAGATTTCTGCAGACCCCTCACACGCTGGGCACAAACTGTTTGAACTCCTCCCCTCTGGACAGTGCTACAGGTCACTGTGCGCCAAGACAACCAGACACAAGAACAGTTTCTTCCCCCATGTCATCACCCGGATGAACAGATAATTCATGACTGTATGAGAGGACACAGCAATCACCCCAGTGTAATAAACTAAATATAATCATTATATATGACAGCCTGACAGCTATTTTCCCATAAAGTATATATAGGTACATATATTTATAAATATGTATACTTATATTTATTTACGTATATATTTCTTCTCTCATTCTTTTCCTGTTTTTGATCGCACATGTAATAATCTGATTATTCAGTGGATCAAAATATTTTGTTTTTCTTTTATTTACAAGAATGTATTTAATGTTGTTATAATGATGCATTAAGGTATTTAATGTTTTTTCATCACGTGATAAATAATTAACTAATTTCATAGTTTTTTTTGTAAAAGTTAAAATATAAAACAGTTTTAACACTATGCAATTGCATTTACTTTGTAAAGTGTCCTGAGATGACTTTTGTTGTGATTTGGCGCTATACAAATAAAATTTGATTTGATTTGATTTGATTTGAAACATCTTCGACCTAGAAATCTAGTCCATTTGATTTTTTCTAAGTTTTTTCCAGGTTACACACATATTTCCTGTTTGAATGCACACATAGTTTATTTTTTATTTTTATTGTTTTATTTTTATTTTATATCCCCTGTTGTCTTACAAATACATTGAGCACCTGAGTCATATTCTTTGTATGTTCAAACACACTTGGCCATTAAAGATGATTCTGTGTAGTCTACTGGTAAAGTAGCATTAATCACTATTAAATGGGGATAAATTTTGTCCCCACCCAGGATAAAAATCATTCAGCAGAGGCAGGGGATATACAGTATAGAATGGGGGGAATGACCTATGAACACAGTTGATTTTATACATTGTATGAATACACTTCTTTTTGAGTGTTATCATACCCTAATTTAATTTAATATAAATAAAGAGTCCAAAATTTTGGAACATACTTAAAGTCTGCAAATATGTTTATATATCGTGACCACCTGAATGTTGGGTGTTGTGTGGAGTGAACAGGCATATATACAGACGTTGTGACAGAATGGATACAGATTACTCTCCACATGCTGTTGGTTTTAAATTTCTCTGCATAAGACTGCTAACCTAGTAACTGTAAAGAAGGCCTGTATTTTGTTTGTTTTTGATTTAATCAGCCATTCTTTCTTGTTTTTGTTTTCATTCCTGTTTGAAAACTGAAACAAACACCGTAAATTGCCATTTCAGTGTTTCAGTGGGGTTTGGCAGCTGAGGCCATGGTTTTTATGTTGAATTTTTAGAGACTAAAATGTGCCATGTTTTCCAAATTTGACACCACACTCATTCCCCAAATACCAACAGTCTGGAATGATTTGAAACCAATATTCAGACCATTGCTGGATTTGTGACAAAAGCACGTAAAATTGGTACTTTTTTCTTTCTTTTTTAACCATCATAGATTTGTCTTTTTCACCACCTCTCTCTTTCTCTCTTTGCTTTCTGTCTTCTTTAATCCCTTCCTCTGTCCCATGCACACAGGATGCATGAGTCAGTTAAAAGAGCAAATGGAACTGTCTGTCATACTGGGTCTATACCCCAGGACCAGTAAGACCTTCAAAGACCCCCTGGAGCCCTGGCCACCAACATCTAGCTAAACAGGTAAACTAAGGGCAACAAGAAACAATCATGTAGCGAGAATCCTGAGAATGGAAGCACAAGGCTATGGTGAGCATGACAGACCATCTGTTAAAGAAAAGACACCCTTGTATACTGAGGGAGATCATCAAGGAAGTGGAGACAGAGTCAGGAATGGGCAACATGTAGGGCAGGCATGTAGGGCAGAATCAAAGGGAAAACACAGAGATATTTGGGGGATATCTCATGTCTCTTATAAGATCATTCCTACGTCCTTGGTCGACCAGAACAATTTCCAGGACATAGGACATTCCAGGTCTCTTATATCAGCTGTGAGGACTGAGGATGGTGCTGGAGGAGCCATGACAGAGGATACATGAGACCATCATTCACGGGCGTTTTTTGTGAACTGACACGTCCCTTCATCTGAAATTAGTTGTTGTATGGACACTTTAGATGAAGGATCTGAAGAAAAGATGTCTCATGTCATTATTAACATGTTTCCTCAAGTCCTCTCATCTCACATTTTCCTCAAATGTTTTCCTTGCATCTTACATGGGAGAGACTAAAATGCAAGTGTGGGTGACCACAGCCCTTATGTGAGACATGAGGTGTACCTTTGCAGACTGGGTAGGGAATGATGATCTGCAGAGAAGTCCAGAAAGAGCAGAGGGAAGGGCTATGACAGATGGGCACCAGTGATCTTTTCTGCAGTCCTGACTTTTGTTGTAGTTTGTTCTTGGCTTGTTAAGTGGCCGAACCAAACCAGATGTTTATGATTGGGCAGAGAACAGATTCACAGATTCAGTGTTTACATTATACAGCTAAATCAGTGTTGGGGGAGTTAGGTCCACTGCCCTCTCCAGTTTTGAACATGTTCAACTCCAGGTTGGCCACACCAGAGGGCTAGCTGCAGGCAGGAGGTGGAAACCCTCAACCCTACTTGGTACTAAACCCTACTTCCTTTGATCCCGAGCTGTAAGCTCTTATTAAATATCAACACACCATTTGGTTATTTGGATTTTTAAATATAGTTTAATATAGGTAGGATTTTATATTGACAAAAAAAAACTCTTTCATTTTGTCATGCATGCTCACTGTCACATTTTGAAACCCTTCTCTTTCTGCTCTATCTTTGCAGCTTTCTTTTCTTCTCCATCATGTCCAGTATAATGAGTGAGAGATGTCATGTGTCGCCAAGGCCTCTTTTTTCTCTCCTCTATCATCTCCCTTTCCCCTTCCTGTTTCTCACTCATCTTTCTGTCTTCCTCTCTTTAAAGTCAGAGTATTGGGAAGACTAATTATACAGATGGTATTGATGTAGCTAGTTCCCATGGTGACTGCACTATTGCAACACAGAGAATGGAAAAGTGGTCGCCAAGAAGTTGACTCACTGTAAAATGTAAGCTACAAAGGTTAAATCAGTGCAGGGTTTTGAGGGCTATATCAATATACTGACTGTGCTGAAACTTGACCAGCAGGTTCATTAGATTTTCATATGCTTTTCACTGGAGTTCTTAAGAATAAGACATGCTATTTTGATTAGTTTTTCTTTCTGTAATTAAATAAAATGAACATATGTTTTGACTTCCCTACCCTGTGTGTTTTAATCACTTTTATTGGCCAAGTATGTTACACACACAAGGAATTTATCTCTGGTACAGAACTGAGGCAGCCATCTGCAGTGCCAGCTCACACACACACAGACAGATGGTGGCACTGTTTCTTCAAGGTGCTGACCTGGCCATTGGGAGTGACCTGGGGTTCAGTGTCTTGCCCAAGGACTTATGTGGACTGAGGAGAATGAGAATCAAACTGCCAACCTTCCAGTTAGGGGATGACTGCTCTACCTCCTGAGCCACAGCCGCCCCTTTACTAAATGTTTCCAGCAGCAGCATGGTATATATTAGTGATACCACTTACAGTATTTCCCATCCAATCCAATACCAAGTAAAACCCAGGCTGGTATACCGATACCAATACTGATACTTTGTACAAAAAACGATGAGGCAAAAAAACTGACTGAGAAGAGGAGATATTTAAGGACCTGTTGCTTTTCATCTCTGGCTGCTGGGGCTGATTGCTGCTGAGCTGTGACACCTGGGTAATTTCACTCACCTGTGGTTTAAGTTGCTTAGTGTCCCCTCTCCAGTCACTAGATTGTAACTAGCCGTCTTGCAATGCAGTTGAACTGTCTTTCGATCCTGATTGCTTTGTACCTGTTTCCCAGCCTCTGCTTCACCAGTTTTGACTCTCTCTCTCTCTCTCCTGTCGATTTTGTAAGTCTCTGCCCTGGTTGCCTGAACTCTAGCCTTTATTTTGACCATTGGATTTTTGCTGTGCACTGTTGCCTCTGTGTTTTTGCTCTCCTGTTTTTTGTTGTTGTTGTTGTTGTTGTTTTTTGAGCTCAGTGCTTTTTTTGTTCTCGCTGAGGCTTTTTTGCCTCCGACCTGATACTATTCATTAAAGTATTTCCAGTTTTTACTCTGGGCCTGTGGACACTTACCACTGTGCATGACTTCTGTATTTTTACTTGAAACTGACCTGCTGACTTCTCCTGGCTTTCCAGAACATCCTAGTCTGCCATTTTCTGGCCACTCCACCACTTTGTCCTCCTGTGGGAATTATACCTACCTCACCTCCCTGTGTTTTCAGCCTGCTGCTCACTGCAGTTTCACCGTAGTATTTTCTTACTTGTATGATGTCTTCCTCCTGCGGGTTCACCGCTCCTGCAGTCCTGTGGTCCGATCCTGCCAACTACTGATGACGAACTGCTTCGTGAGGGCATTCAGTAAGCAAGCCATTTTCAAAGGCTTCCCTCTCCCTCTGTGAAAACAACAGAAGACACCTTTTCACTCATTGTCTGTGTCTGACAGGGCACCTGTGCGTAGACCATTTGCAGACCCTGGTGGTTTCAGAGGCTTCTGAACACCATAGCCATCTTCACCAGTCCCAGGAGCTGCTCTGTCATTTCATTTATCCCCAAAATATATCCCTTAAACTTACCCAGAGTCTCAAGTGTCTTTTATTAGTGTCTATGAGAAGCTGGTTATTTCATACAGTATATCCAGAAAGCTTTCACATGCCAAATTGGTTGGTGTTTACATCCATCCTCCCGGCAACCACAAATGACACTAGCTGTGTTCCTGTGCCAGTGTTGTATCGTTATGCTTTCCCCTATTAAAAGCTGTGTTTACCATAGTGCCTCCTCTTGGTAAACAGGGAAACCACACCCATCTACTCTGCTACCATGAGATTCGAGATTATGCACACCAGTATATCTCATCTCATTTTCTATACCGTTTAGTCCCAGTCGGGGTCGTGGGGGGGCTGGAGCCAATCCCAGCCGGCATTGAATGAAAGGCAGGGTACACCCTGGACAGGTCGGTCCATCGCAGAGCCAACATGCAGATGAACAACCACACACACACACATTCACTCCTATGGGCAATTTAGTCACCAATCAACCTAAGCTGCATGTCTTTGGTGTGTGGGAAGAAGCTGGAGCACCTGGAGAGAACCCACGCAAACAGAGGGAGAACATGCAACAGAAAGGTCGCAAACCCGGAACCTTCTTGTTATGAGGCAACGATGCTACCCATCCTGTCAGCGTGCTGCCCACACCAGTATATATATTTTTATATTGTATTTCTTGTATAATTATGCAACTATCACACAGTGTGTTTCCCTGTGGAGATATGGTTTTCTTATTCTGATTCTCAGTAGTTTGTGCATTTACAAAGCTATAGCTTGCATATGACTGATAGGTGGAAGGAGAAACAGTTCCTATCAACCAGGTATTATTTAAATTGTCCTGGTGACAGTGTAGTTGATTTACATTGTGCCCCTGTAGATGATAAGATATAAAATTGCCCCAAATGACAGAGTGTAGATATTGATCTTTTAATTTGAGAATTGATAACAAAACAGGAATCAGAGGGATCAGAGGTATTGATATTTCATGCTCAATCCGCTCATCACTAGTTTATATGGAATTGAGTCAAAATTAATTTCATTATAGATAATGAAGGAGCATGCTACACAGTACAAAGATGTGGCTTATTGATGGGATGCACAGAATGTGACATTTAGAAAAACATATCACTAGCTGATGAAAAATGGAAATGGTCTTATCTAAATTTATTTAGATTAATTTACACATAACTCAAAGATCTCTTCATTCATATTCTTTCTGATCTTTTTTTGTCATCTGCTTCTCTGTCAAATCTTCCACCACCTTCAGTCCTAATGTTGCCATACTTGTCCAATAATCTTTCTGCCTTGAGCCAAAGTGGACTTGCTGGTGTGCTTTGGATCATTGTCCTGCTGCAGAACCCAAGTTCGCTTCAGCTTGAGGTCACAAACGGATGGCCGGACATTCTCCTTCAGGATATTTTGGTACACAGCAGAATTCATGGTTCCATTTATCACAGCAAGTCTTCCAGGGCCTGAAGCAGCAAAACAGCCCCAGACCATCCCACTACCACCACCATATTTTACTGTTGGTATGATGTTCTTTTTCTGAAATGCGGTGTTACTTTTACGCCACACATAATGGGACACACACCTTCCAAAAAGTTCAACTTTTGTCTCGTCTGTCCACAGAGTATTATCCCAAAAGTCTTGGGGATCATCAAGATGTTTTCTGGCAAAACTGAGACGAGCCTTTATGTTCTTTTTGCTCAGCAGTGGTTTTCGTCTTGGAACTCTGCCATGCAAACCATTTTTGCCCAGTCTCTTTCTTATGGTGGAGTCATGAACACTCAGCTTAACTGAGGCAAGTGAGGCCTGCAGTTCTTTGGATGTTGTTGTGGGGTCTTTTGTGACCTCTTGGATGAGTTGTCGCTGCGCTCTTGGGGTAATTTTGGTCGGCTGGCCACTCCTGGGAAGGTTCTCCACTGTTCCATGTTTTCGCCATTTGTGGATAATGGCTCTCACTGTGGTTCGCTGCAGTCCCCAAGCTTTAGAAATGGCTTTATAACCTTTTCCGGACTGATAGAGCTCCATTATTCTCTTTCTCATTTGTTTTTGAATTTCTTTGGATCTCGGCATGATGTCTAGCTTTTGAGGATCTTTTGGTCTACTTCACTTTGTCAGGCAGGTCCTATTTAAGTGATTTCTTGATTGCGAACAGGTGTGGCAAGAGAAATTGAACTCAGGTGCGATAAACCAGTGTTTTGACAGGGGGGCAAACACTTGTTCACACAGGGCTCTATAGTTTTGGATTTTGTTTTCCCTTAATAATAAAAACCTTCATTTAAAAACTGCATGATGTGTTTACTTGTGTTATCTTTGACTAATATATAAATTTGTTTGACGATCTGAAACATTACAGTGTGACAAACATGCAAAAAGATAAGAAATCAGTAAGGGGGCAAACACTTTTTCACACCACTGTATTACTCAATACATTTATAAATCACAGTATATTTCCCTTCATTTTTTACATTGTCAAAAAGGGGGTGTGACAGTAACAGTGTGGCCATGGTCCTAGGAGTCCAAAAAAGGGAGGGTACTGATCCAATGTCCTTGTGTTTTACATATCAGTTACATCAATATTATTTTCCACCATGTCATATCATACATTTTTACCCATTTACTAATAAAATCATAATAAAACCTTCTCATTTTCCAATTTCCCTTTAACAATGTTACGTTCTCCCTCTCTCGAGCCCAGAGGAGAGAGAGAAAGAGATAGAGCAGGACCCGAACTATAGAAATCGGTAAGAGAACAATGTTTTCTTGCAACAACAGAGTCGGATGGGATATAGTACTGATGTAGTGATGATGTACTGGCAGCTGACAGGGGAAGTCAGTCTGTACCGGGCTGGTGATGGTGGATCAGACCTCAGGTAGAGCACAGTCTTGGGGATGAACCCGGTGGAGTGACACCGGAGAGATGAGTTGTTGTAGACGGGTTGCTGAGTCGAGCTGAGGTGAGTAGAGAAAGACTGCAGATCGGCTGGCCCAGACATGATGATGCCAGAGAGACAAGCTGCTGGAGATCCACTGCTGAGTCGAGTGATGAGCTGAGGTGAGTTGAGACCGTTGCTGCAGAGAAGCTGGCCTAGACAGCATGGTGTCAGATGGTTGATAGAAGTTGAAAATGAGACAGGAGCAAGTGCAATGTGCACTACAGCACACGATGTTGGAGGCAGGATTCCATACAGCAGGTAAAGATCTCAGCAGAGAGTGCAGTATTAAAAGTAACGGTTTTACTTGCAGCTTTGTAGGAGCCAAAACTTCGTGGTCTAGGTAGGTACGACAACGAACCAATGGTGAATTAGTGTTAGAGTGGTGGTTAAGTAGGCCAACAGCTCATCAAGGTAATCTGCCGCAGGTGAGGTGCATTCCTGAGATGCCAGCATCTGCAGAGGGAAGGCGGGAGAGAGAGAGAGAAACACAGAAAGACAGGGAGCAAAGCATAACCCTGACAAACAATAATGTAATGCCTCTCCTTGTCCTTGGTTTCCTTTAAGCATTCATATTTGATTGAACTGTGCATACGTGTTGCTACTATTCTCTTATGACTCTGACAATAAAATGTATTCCTAAATTTCTTTCTTATGTTCCTCTCTAGATAGGTGTTTCCTGGGTGAAGATAATTTGGGCATTATTTTTTCTTATTCTTGTTTTTTTTTTTAATAGGGCAATTTAGCCCATTCACATTCATTGACTCCAGTGTAATGTTAGTCATCTTTTTTTGGTCTGTTCTTCTAGTTTCATTAAAACACCCTGTAACCATGGCAACCACTAATAATGCTGTTAACACTGAACAACTCTGTACTAAACAAAAAAAAAACAAAACACTTGGACTTCCAAAAGTAGGTGCTACCCTCCCATTACACATTCTTGGGTTAAGGGGGATATCCCATGTAGCATGAGGACCCTCTCCAGAGAAGATCAGTCTTTCTGTCCAAAGGTTTTTACCCATCATTCTTAATGAAATGTTTACACATATGTGCCAATCAACCATAAGAAAGAAGAACAAACTATAGGGACCAGTTGACAAAGTATATTCAATATCAAAATAAAAAACAGTTGTCTTCCATGTCTTTACCATACCTGCCATACTTTCACATATCTGCCATATTGGTTACTTCCTTTGATATTTTTGCAACTTTAATTTGGTCCTCTCACCAGTGTCATCCAAATTTCTAACTCACCTCCACAGCAGTGACTTCTGGAGTTGATCTTCCATACCTGTCCTGGCTCTGTTGCTCCTCTGTCTCCACATCAAATCCACTCAGCTGTTGCTTCCTGTACGCGCTCATATGTCCTCAGGCCAGCTTCCCAGTGGATACTGGCTGAAGGTGTCTGGAAGTGTTTTCCCCTCTCTTTTAGGACTTTATTGATGCCAGTATATTTTTTTTTTATTGCAACATGAAATAATACATTTACAGGACAAAGGACATAACATAGAAGATGAGACAACAGCCATTAACAAAAGAGATAAAGGAATTATTACATTTAGTTTGTGTGTGTGAAAGTGTGTAGTGTGGGTGTATCCAACTCTGTGCAGACTGATATTCAGTACATATTAAAGAAAAATAAAATTAAACCAAATAAATTAAGAAATTCAGGGGGGGTAGGTAAACCACCAGTACCAGGTAAGGCCAACACTTGGGGAGCTCCGGAGCAGCTCAGCAGGGTGAGGTTGTCCAGGGCAGCAGGACAGCAGTGTCCTTGTGTTATGGTTAAGTTAAACCTTCCCTTTGTTTCCTGTTTGTCATGGTTTATGTTTAAAGTTGATTGCTGGGACAAACAGCTCAGGGTCAGCCCCTGACCTTGACAGGAGAGACCTGACCCAATGTGTGGTGTGTTTCCCTCATAAACAGCTCTCAGACCCTGAGGAGGGAGCTTGTCTAAGAGGGTGTCAGCAGTCCAGTGATGCTATGTGTAGTTAAGGCAAAGGAAACAGTGACCTGGCCTTCCTCCCCTATGCTGTTCCCCCCAGAAAGACCTCAAGAGTGACCCCAGC